AGAATACCAAATAACATACCAGTGCCTCGTGCCTCCCGTCGTATGGAACGTACTGACTACTAGCTCGATGAATGGGATTCCCGATGAAAAGTTGGGTAACGTTGCGGTACCAGCCCATATAATCATGCTCAGATCCTGCCGACACGGTGAAAGGGGGCGGAATCAGGTGAAATCGCTGGTCCCAAGTAAATATCTGATCCTGTAGACATGACAAATATGCATCGTCCACCCTGGTACGATCATCCCGCTAGTAATGTGTGGTCTGCCAAGTGGGCAGTGTCGGTACGAGCTGTGGCCTGCCAAACTGGCGAGGTACCCGCTCGGTGGCATGATGCTCCACAATATCAAGGCAGAACATCGGGACAGAAGAGCACCACATAAGTCGGCTGGCCGAGCAATAATAAGGCAAGCCAGCTAACACCGCGTCGCTGTATTGCATCCAGATGAACTATTAAGGAAGAATAGAAAACGTAGTATATGCAACTTGTGTTTGAAGCAATGACAAGTAAGCTTAGATATACATTTACCTGTGCGCCATCCAGCAAATCCAATATATCCCTGCACAAGGAGAGATTATGCCGAGCCTCGTACTCGCGCGTATGTCCCCGCCGGAGAACCACCTCCTAGCTAGAGGGAGCAACGGAGGTGGTACATCCGGATCTAATGGTGGTAGAGGTGGCTGCAACTGCAGGAACCGCTCCCAGGCCCAAACCTAACATTAAAAGTTGACGTAAAATTTAAGATATATTTTTGTTAGGTATGTTACAATGAATAGAGTATTCGAATATGTTGTCACCTATAGTAGCAGCAAAAATCCATCAACATCAAGTTGGGTGCCCATGATCGCCCGGCACATCTGCCTGTACAAGTAGCCGAGAACAGCAACACCCCAGTTGTACTGGGGCAAATCATCTAGTAGCTCAAGATGATGAAGAAATCTCAAGCTGACTAGGTTCCCCGAAGTGTTCGGGAACAAGACCCCTCCAAACATAAGGAGCAGCAACCTCGTATACCGGTCAACATGATAATCCGGTGTATCGTCATCGATCTCAGGATGCAATGCCTCCAACCACTATTGAATAGTTGTCAACGGAAAACGACTGGTCCCAGCCAGTACATTCTCATCCTCTGGCCGAAAAGCAGTGAGCCGCTGCAGCATGTCCAGGTGGCACACATGTCATCTCTCTCATGCCAGGCGGGAGAGCAACGAGGTGTCAACGGGCAGCCCATATAAAACTTCCACGTCCTGTAGTGTGATGGTGGCTGATAACTATGGATTTTAACCTATCTTATGCTCTCTTTTGCTTAGGTTTTGGATAAAAAATATGTAAAAGTATTCTCGAAAACTAATTTACTGTGCTTACTTGCATGCTTTGGTCAAAATGACGCAAAGAAGCCAAAAAAAACTCATGAAAGAGTAAACTTGCACAGACTAAAGATTGGGAACTGGAGTGCGGAGAGCGGACAAAATACGCGATGAGGACCACCGCAGAGGCGTCTACAAATACGGGGCCCGCAAAAGTAAAGTTCAGAGAGGCTAATTTGAGCACAAGTTCTACCGCTGAGCGCGATGGAAAAGCGCGGCCGCGAAATACCTGATGCGGCCGCAGTAGTATTTTCGCTGAGAGCGTTGATTGAAGTTCAGAGACCCTGCAAGTCATGCTGGATAGAAGAAGCGGTCCGCATCCAAATTACGCAGCCGCAATGGAAGCACAGGCGGATGAAATTACGATGTCCGCGAAACCAAGTCCAACCTAAGCCCAGAAGAAACGCGGACCGCTCGTTATTGCGCGACCGCGAGAGCTCAAGCACGGACATGGTCGGATTTATGCTCCCGCGAAACTTCCACAGGGGCATTTTTGTCCAAGAATTCCAGCCTAGTATAAATAGATCTTTTTCATATTTTAGGGTTTGTAATATTTTCCTGAGCACGTGAACGGCTGGTTTTTTACCTTTTTGAGTAATCTTAGAGTAGATTTGTCTTCAATCTTTAGATTTTCATCTTGTATTTGAATATTATGGTTTATATTTCATCTCCATCTTTGATTTCTACTATTATTATGAGTAGCTAAACCCTATAGCTAGGGTTGTAACCCAACCCTAGTGTGGGTATTTAACGGGTCATGAATTTTAGGGCTTAATTGTTTATGGGATAGTGATATTTAGCTTAATTCATGCTTTAATTATAGAATTGGTGGTTGCAAACACTGATTCGTGCCTTGATGACTTAGACTCTTCTTGAGAAAGAGAGACTACGTCTAGGAAAATTAGGCTAACAAGGAATTGGGGTGCATTCAAGAGAGTGATAGCCCTAATTAAAGGCTTAAACCTAGAGATAGTAATACCCGACTTGAGCCAATATCATTTGTTATGCATGAACACCCATTTGGACTTGAGAAAGTCAAATCGGGCAAACTCACTCAAACTACTGAGAGCTATAGAGTGAGCACTTATGTGTGATGGTTATATCACGACCCCAATCATAACAAGCTTGCCCTGAATTCTCGATACCCGTTAGATATCCACCTAGGCGGAAGTCACTGCCCTAGTCCCTTTTAATCCTTGAAAACAACCAACAAAAATAGTGTACTTAGCGTATTCTAGCATATTATAGTATAACATTAGAAGTATAATCAATCATGACCATGTATGGAGGTGAAATTTGGAACAACACGCACATCTAGATTAGTTAGATACCTAACTCCAAATCAATTACCCCCCTGTGGAAATCGAACCCGACCTTTGTTGGGTAAAACTACATCGACCATCCTTGCCACTCGATAGTGTTACAGGCTTGGAACCGATCACTTTTTGGCGTCGTTGCCAGGGAGTTAGACGGTTTTAGCTATCTATCTAACTATTTGTGTGTCTTGTTTTTCTTTCCTTCCGATTTTCTAATTTGTTTGTGAATTGCTCTTAGGTACAATATGGCTTTTAGCAATGATGCTCCTGGAAATTTGCCTCTGGGGGAGGAGGTAGATGATGATAATGTGGATGAGATTCAACCCGAACCACAAGCACAAAGAAGAGGCCGACCGCCTCTTGACAATATTCCAAACCCTCCCCCGCCTCCAGCAAGGGCAGCATACCGGATATTGCCCAATGAAGGATACACAAGTGCAATAGTCCCGATCCGGATTAGGGCGGGCAACTTCTAAATAACCAACGTTATGCTTACACTCTTGGAACAGAGGGGTTTCTTCACCGGAGCCCTACACCAAAATGCCTATAAGCATCTCAAGGGTTTTGTTGATACATGCTGGGGGAGCAAGCAGACGAACGTTTTTGAGGATGCGTTGAGATTAAGGAATTTCCCATACTCTCTAAGGGGGAAAGCTTTGGATTGGCTTGAGAGGTTGCCCAATCATTCCATCACTACTTGGGATGAGTTGGCCGAAAAATTCATAGCAAAGTTCTTCTCGCCGGGGCATATGACGACGCTGAGATGAGATCCTTGCCTTTAAACAAGAGCCAAATGAACCGCTTCATGAGATTTGGGAAAGGTATCGGACAATGGTTAAAGAATGTACGAACAATGACATGACCAAAGCCATGATCCAGCAAACATTCTACCGTGGCATCAACACTACCAACCAGTGTGTAGTTAACCAGCTAGCAGAGGGAAACTTTATGAACACAGCTTATGCTGAGGCGTGTGATATACTTGATGAGATGGCAGATACTTACCCGGCGTGGCAGAGTCGAGCTAATGTGCCACAAGGTGATCCCAATGTCATTCACCTACACAAAGAGCTGCATGACCACGACCAAGCAATAGCAGAGTTAACTACAACAATGAACCAGTTGGCCAAAGCTCAATTGCAGCAAGTTCAAGCGCCAAGACAAGTGAATGCCATGGAAGGGGTAAAATATGATGGCTAACAAGAGGCGGCAAAGAGGTCAACAAACTCAAGGAAATCCGGATCAATTTGAGCAAGGTGGTAGTGGTTACAACCAAGATGATGGGTATGATGATCAAAGGAAGAAGTTCAGTATGTGAACAACTACCAAGGACAATGGGGCAATGCTCTGAATCAATAACAACAGTGGAGATCCCAAGTAAATTGGGGGAATCAAAACCAACAAGGAAATTGGAACAGTGGGAACAACAACAACCAAAGCAACTGAGGGAACAACAATCAGAATTGGGGCAACCAGGGTAACTAGGGCAACTGGGGTGGCAACAACAATAGAAATTGGGGAGGCAACAACAACCAAGGGGGTTGGAATAATGGTAATCAAGGGAATCGGGGGCCGGGCTTTCAAAGGCCTCCGATGTATCAACAACTAAACTACCCGCCTCCATTTCCGTCTCAAGGTCCTAGCTCGTCAAACAATGAGATAGGAAGGATTGAGTCAATGTATGAGCAAATGATGAAGAAAAATGCCAACTCTGATGCCCAGTTGGCGTCCTATAATACTTCTATCCGCAACTTGGTGGTCCAACTTAGCCAGATTTCGCAAGCTTTAAACACTCGCCCTAAGGGGGCACTACCTAGTGACACGGTAGTAAACATGAAGGGAGGGAACAATACGAGCCACGCTATGGTGGTGACTACAAGGAGTGGTAGAGGTAGTGTTGATAATACCTCTAATGCAAGAAGGTTGTGAGTGATGATGTGTTGGTGCAAAAGAATGATGAGAAAAGCAATGATATGCAAGTGAGTGATGATATTGTGAATGAAGAAGTGAGAATTGACATTGATGACAACGTGGAGGAAACACAAAATGGTGTGAACTCGTCTAGGGAACACGTGATAGACATACCGGAAACGGTAGTGCCCAAAGCCAAGGCTCATTTGCCAAGGTCTCCTCCACCGTACCCTCAGAGGCTTGCAAAATAGAACAATGAGAACCAGTTGAAGAAATTTATTGATATGATGAAGAGTTTGTCGATAAATGTATCTTTGGTGGAGGCTCTAAAACAAATGCCAGGCTATGCCATGTTTATGAAAGACTTGGTAACAAAGAAGAGATCCATGAATTGTGAAACAGTCAAGATGACTCACCAAGTGAGTGCCATTGTACATTCCATGGCCCCAAAGCTAGAGGACACCGGGGCTTTTACGATCCCGTTCACTACTGGTTGTGCCGATCGCCAAAGCTTTGTGCCACTTGGGGCAAGCATTAACTTGATGACATATTATGTGTTTAAGACATTGGGGATTGGGCAGCCAAGGGCCACATCCATGAGGTTGCAAATGGCGGATAGGACAATGAAAAGGCCATTGGGGATAATTGATGATGTGTTAGTGAGGTTCGACAAGTTCATACTTCCCGCTGATTTTGTGATTCTTGACTACGAGGTTGACTATAAGGTGCCGATCATATTGGAGAGACCTTTCCTAGCTACAGGGAAGGCTTTAGTTGATGTGGAAGCAGGGGAGCTCACCTTCCGGGTGGGTGATGAAAAAGTTGTGTTCCATGTCTGCAAATCAATGAGGCAGCCCAATAGCAACGAAGTATGTTCATTTGTGGATCTTGTGACCGAGGTGATTGTTGAAGACACCAGTGCTGTGATAAATGTGGAGGACCCTTTGGAAGCTATGTTGTTGAACCATGATGTGGTGCAGGATGAAGGCTTGGCGGAATATGTCAATGCTTACACATATGAGCCCCGAAAACTTTCCTAGGATCTGGAGAACCGAAAGACTCCAGCAACAAAGCCCTTTATCGAGGAGCCTCCCGTATTAGAGTTAAAGCCTTTGCCTTCACACCTCAGGTATGAATTCTTGGGCCCTTGTTCAACTTTACCTGTTATTCTTTCTTCGTGCTTAACTAACGTGCAGGTAGATTCCACCCTTGCGGTGCTCCAAAGAAGGAAGAAGGCAATCAGATGGACTCTAGCTGATATTCGTGGGATAAGCCCTGCCTTTTGCATGCATAAAATTATACTTGAGGATGATGCCAAACCCTACGTGGAACATCAAAGGAGGTTGAATGAGGCCATGCAAGAGGTCGTCAAGAAGGAAATTATCAAGTGGATCGATGCAGGGGTTGTGTACCCCATTTCGAATAGTTCATGGACTTCACTGGTACAATGTGTGCCAAAGAAGGGGGTATGACGGTGGTCACAAATGAGCAAAATGAGTTGATCCCTACCAGGACTGTCACTAGATGGAAGGTATGCATGGTTTACCGAAAGCTGAACAAAGTGACCTGCAAAGATCATTTTCTATTCCCCTTTCTTGACCAAATGTTGGATAGACTTGCCGGGCGTGCCTGCTATTGCTTTTTGGATGGGTACTCAGGTTACAACCAGATTTTAATTGCACCGGAGGACCAAGAGAAAACCACCTTCACATGTCCGTATAGAACCTTTGCATTCATAAGGATGCCATTTGGTTTGTGTAATGCACCGGCTACCTTTCAGTGGTGAATGATGGCTATATTTATGGATATGGTGGAGGACTTCCTTGAAGTGTTCATGGATGATTTTAGTGTTGTGGGTGACTCCTTTGAAGAATGTTTGGGCAATCTTGACAAAGTGTTGGCCCGATGTGAAGTGACCAACTTAGTGCTTAATTGGGAGAAGTGCCACTTTATGATTGAGGAGGGCATTGTCCTCGGCCATAAGATTTCAAAGAACGGTATGAAGTGGAGAAAGCGACAATTGAAGTGATTTCCAAACTCCCTCCTCCTACTTCCGTCAAAGGAGTTAGGAGCTTTCTTGGGCATGCGGGGTTTTACCAGAGGTTCATCAAAGACTTCTCAAAAGTGGTGAATCCCTTGTTCAAGTTGTTGGAAAAGGATGCAAAGTTTGTGTTTAATGATGATTGCATGAAAGCTTTCGAGCTTCTCAAGTATAGATTGACTACCACTCCCATCATCACCGCACCCAATTGGAGCTTACCATTTGAGCTCATATGCGATGCTACTGACGTTGCGGTAGCAGCGGTCTTGGGGAAAAGGATCAAGAAAATATTTCATCCGGTCTATTATGCAAGCAAAACAATGAATGATGCTCAAGGCAATTATACCGTGACCGAGAAAGAGTTATTAGCCATTGTCTTTGCCATGGAAAAGTTCAGACCATATCTCATGGGTACCAAAGTGATTGTGCACACTAATCACGCGGCACTCTGTTACTTGATGACAAAAAGGGACTCTAAGGCTAGGTTAATGAGATGGGTTCTACAGCTTCAACATTTTGACCTTGAAATTATTGACCGAAAAGGATGTGAAAACCAAGTGGCGGACGACTTGTCCCACTTGGAAGAGGAGGTGAGGCCCCATTATGGCCTCAAAATTAATGATTCGTCTCCGGATGAACAACTCCCCCCCGTGTCTTTGAATAGTATGCCTTGATTCACCGATGTGGCTAACTTTCTTGTGACAGGTATTATCCCATGTGAGCTCTCTTCTAACCAAAGGAAGAAGCTTAAACGGGATAGCTTGGATTATTACTGGGACGAGCCTTATCTTTTCAAGATTTGTAATGATGGTGTGATCCGAAGATGGGTTCTGGAAGAGGAGAAAAAGAGTATTGTTGATGCTTGCCACTCTTCTCCCTACAGTGGTCATCATGGTGGGGCGAGAACTGCTTCAAAGGTGCTCAACTGTGGATTTTATTGGCCTACTTTGTATAAAGATGCTAGTGAGCTTATGAGGAGATGTGATGAGTGTCAGAGAGCGGGTGGAATTTCCAAGAAGGATGAAATGCCTCTCACCACTATTCTTGAGATTGATATTTTTGATGTGTGGGGCATTGACTTCATGGGACCATTTGTGAGTTCATGTGGTAGCACTTACATTTTGGTTGTTGTTGATTATGTTTCCAAATAGGTTGAAGCTATGGCTTTGCCCAATAATGAGGCACAGAGTGTGGTGGCTTTCTTGAAGAAAAATATTTTCACAAGGTTTTGCACTCCTAGGGCGATCATCAGTGATGGGGGGGGGGTCTCATTTTTGCAACAAGGCCTTCGATACTTTACTTTCCAAGTATGGTGTCAATCATAAAGTGTCAACCCCTTATCATCCCCAGGCTAGTGGACAAGTTGAGGTCTCCAACAGGGAGATCAAGAGTATTCTTTCTAAGATTGTCAATGCAAACCGGACTGATTGGTCAAGGAGACTTGATGATGCTTTGTGGGCTTACAGAACTGCGTGCAAGACTCCAATTGGTATGTCTCCGTACCGGTTGGTATTTGGGGAAGCATGCCACCTTCCGGTTGAATTAGAGCATAAGGCCATGTGGGCGCTGAAGAAGTTAAACCTTGAATGGGATGTAGCTGCAAATCTCCGGGTAGAGGAACTAAATGAACTTGATGAGTTTAGGTTTCATGCCTATTCTAGCTCTTCCTTGTATAAGGACAAGATGAAGTACTTACATGACAAATATGCCCGGAACAAGGAATTCAAGGAGGGTGATTTGGTTCTTCTATTCAACTCTCGGTTACGACTGTTTTCGGGAAAGCTCAAGTCAAAATGGAGTGGCCCTTTTGAGGTGGTGTATGTAACTCCATTTGGTGATCTTGATTTGAAAAAAGAATGGTGAAATCTTCCGAGTTAATGGGCACCGAGTAAAGCACTATCTTGGCAAGTTTGATGATAGCCACGTGGTGGCAATGATCCATTTCAAGTGATTGATGGTAACATGCGTCGTGCCGCGACGTTAAATCAAGCGATTCTTGGGAGGAAACCCATGTGTTTTCCTTTCTTTTTGATTTTCTTCATAGTTTAGGCTTTGTTTTGGACTAACTGGTTGTGAAGTTAGTATAGGAATTGTTTGTGAAGTGCAGGACTGTGGCTGGAAAATTTTGCCTAAGTGTGAGAATTACGCTGACCGCGCTCAAAATTTTGCGGTCAGCGGGTGCTTTCCGCGAGGGCGTAAATGGTTAGCGGACTTGAAAAGTCCAGAATAGCAACTCTTTGAAGTTGTATTCGCGTCCGCGGTTGAACTTTCGCGGTCCGCATTACTCTTTCGTGGCCGCGCTAGTTTTTTCGCCCTCAGCGGTGCAGTCTTTACAATAGCTCTTCAAAAAAGGTAACAGCGCGAACCGCGGTGGTATTTCGCGGACCGCGCTCAGGTAAGTCGGTGGGTCTTGCTGCTATTAGTATAAATAGACGGACCTACCTCCTGTTACACTTTTCGATTCCTTCACTCTCGCAGCTATAACCTACTGTTCATCTCCCTCTGAGTAGTTTCAAATCTCATCTCACTAATCAAGAGTCAATTTTCTCTAACTTCTGCAACTAGTATGCTCAATTCATTGCATTACTTTTATATGTTGCTTTTCTTTTCTCTTCGTTTTAACTTTTTCTTTTTAATTAGGGTTCATAACTTCCCATAATCTAAACATTGATACCTAAAATTCATGTGGGTAGTTTTTACATACTTAATGGGGGAGTGGGGTTATTAACCATGCTTGTAATTGCACATACTTTAGTGAAAACCCTAGCTTACGTACGTTGTTTAGTGCCATTGAATTTTGAATTTCGCGGTTCGCGATCTACTTTTTCGTGGTCCGCGTTGGTTCACCGCGGCCGCGCTTACTGTTTCGCGGTCCGCAGTGATCAATGTTCAGAGAGGTAGTAGTCTAATCCTACTCTCTTCACGGCCGCGATTACTTTTTCACGGTCCGCGGTGGGCACTTCGCGACTACGGTCACTTTTCCGCGATCCGCGGTGCCTGGTTCTGAGATACAGTTCTGCAATTTTATTGCAATGTTTTATCAATGCTTGAAGCTTTGTTCTGACTTTCCTTCTTTGCTTGTTTGCTACAGAAAATGGTCCGATCTCGAGGAAAAGGTGATACATCTAAGGGGAGGGCAGAACCCTCCCGAGGAAGGGAAGAGGAAGGATCAAGTTACCACTCGCAGTTCAAAAGTCCATTGGGAAAATGAGAGCTGCCATCAAAGCTTCGAATAGAGCAGCGGACCACTCCGATACGAGTGCGTATGTACCTTCCCGAGAAGCTTCGGAAGGGGACTCTGTGCCCACTCGTGTACCAGACTTCCCGGAGCAATACCGACTAGTAGATGTACCCACCTCCTCTACTGAGTCGTCTGATGACTTAGAGGGAGGTAGTGAGGCGTCGGGATCATCTTCCCCACCTGCTGCAACTCTGGCCTCACCAGTTGCCCCTGCCCCTATTAATGTTGATGATGCCGAGGTCACGGACGATGGGCGAGGGGGTGATTCTATTGTTGGAGGTTTGGAGAGATCATGAAATTCGAAGGTGTAGCAGCACAAATTTTTCAGTGAGTTAGCCTACCAGAAATTCCGAGAATGGTGGCCCGAAAGGTCACTCACCCTAGAGAGCAATTCATTGAGCGAGACCTCCTTCCCCTCAATCCAAATATCAAAAGGCAATTTGATGAGAGAGTAGGTTGGAAATGGTTCATCAACAAGGTTCTGGATGCCAATGAATATCTTGTCAAAGAATTCTACGCAAACGTGGCCCACATCAAAAAGGGCACCACGGTGACAAAGGTCCGCAATCTGAGGATCCGATTTGATGGCCACACATTGAATGAGTATGTCGATTTCGAGAATGTGGAAGCTGTGCAATATTTGGAAAAGCTGGCACTTAGTGAGGTCGCACGGCCATGGGTGGCTGAAATATTTTCTCTCGGGATGACACCAGCATGGCTCACAGCAAGGTTCCCAATAGCTTGAAAAACCCTCAGTT